CCCAGGTAAACACGTTTTTAACCTACTTACTAATACTGCCCACACTGTGCACACACCCACCCCTTGGCTATCAGCCTATTGCTTGTGCGCAGTGATTGGGACCTCAGCTACAAGCCTAGTATACAGTTGGTATACATTACCTCTGAGCGCATACCATACGGTATAGCAATACGGTCTATCCAGGACCTAACAGAATGATAACAGACCTTTTAATAGGTACAGAGATCAAGCAATCGAGCACCGAGACAAAAAGTTTGTTACATTGACACCATTAAGCCGATTAGCTCATTTGCACTACTAGCCGCCCTCAAAGGCGTTTAAAAATCGTCGACCACCAGTCCAAGTATCACCACCAGCAACCGCAAACCACAGCGACAACAGCTGACGGCCTGAACCACGCAAAAGGATTCTGCCGTGCCTCATGTCCCTCCATTAGCTAAGCTCACTACATCAGAGCTCTCATCCTATCATTGTTTTCCCACAACGGTAACAGTGGTTATTTTGTTCTTCAATTTCCTTTTTCAACCAAGCACCAAAAGCACTTTACCATATTATTATAATACTTTTTTTCTCTCATTGTTCTCTATCATTTACCTGTTAGTATTGTACTGGACATTAGTAGAGACTAGGCCGAAAATATCATGACCCTTTATGTTGCTTTATTCTTATTTTTTTATTTTTTTTATTTCTTTAAAAGAGTAATTAAGAAAAAAAGAATCATGAGTGGAGTCGGCCTTTTCCTTATTTTCTCGGTTCTTTTGATTAGATTTGGTACAAGGTATAGACTAGGACTTTTTAAACATAGTTATTCAAATTTTAAAATGTTTGATTGGTTTAAACTCATGCTAAAACTTGTTAACAAACTAATGCAAAATGTAGAGTCACGTTGTTGTTAGCTGCGCGTTACAAAAGCGGTGCCCCAGTATACACGTTTAGATGCTTCAATCACAGAAGTGCGTCCATGATATTCTCATACATGGGCATTCAGCCACATCAGTCAAACATTGATGGCATGCGCGTCCTACTCAATACAAACACAACACCTACACGTAAAAATGTCATGTAAAGAAAAGATGACTAATGCAGAAACACAATGCGACGAATTGTGCCGTAACTTGTTTTGCAATAAACAATAAAAATCAAACCCTTTTATCAAGAAATCAACTCAAAACGAAATGTAACAGAAATCAAATCTTCACCAATGTAAAAACAGATTTAAAATATAACAAATTCCACCCAGTAACATAGATAATGCAACAATATCAAAATATATGAAGGAAAATGAAAAATCACATCAAGATTTATCCTAGTTCACTTTGTAACCACTTGAGAGCTACATCTAGACTGAAGTCGTCATTCCACTATGACCAAAGCTTCCAACCGGTGCCTAAAAAATTGTTCTACAATAAAGTTTTTACAAGAACTATGATCAACCCTTTGATCACTCAAAACCTATCACCTATAGGGTCTCTCTAGTCTAGAATCAATTACAACAACAAGATTCATGAAAACAACAAAGGAGCAATCTCTCCTTGTTCAAACAAAAAAAAGATAAAAAATATCAAAAGATAAGAGATATATTGAGCTTTTTCTCAAGGATGTTAAAATATAGTCAAATTGGTGTTTAATCTTCCAAATTTTGAGTTATAAGGTGTTTCTGTGTTGGTCCTTATTTATGAACCCTCATTGGACATTTATATAGGAGTGTGGATGGTTAGATAGCCGTTATACTCCTAATTTTTAATTAATTCACGTGACCAGATCAATATCCGGATATTTGAGCAGAGTAGCCCAAAATCGATCCAAATGATTTCTAAATGACTTTTACTCACTTCTCATACATGTATGTATGCTTCTAGCATTAATCTAACAGCGTTCCATGGGTGTGAGTCATGTATGAATGGATCATTTATATAGTTCACTTATGCATGAGTTTAGGGCTTCTATAATGCAACCTTGAAAGTTATAGCTCAATAAACTCAACCCTCTAAATTCCTAAAACTCTAATAAAACATTACAAACTAAATAAATTTGAGTCTTCAGAATTATTCTTTTGTCTTCATGTTTTAAGACTTATAGTTCCTTGTTTGACTTGAATCTTTGACTTTAGAGTTGCCTTTGTACTTTGAAGTTATTTCTCCACTTTTGCATGTTGTTCTAACCATCTAGCTTTATTTAGAACTTGTTGCATTGCCTTATATATTGTGCAAGCATGTTGAGCTAGTTGATGCTTTGTAATCATCAAAACTTGACTTTATTGGTCTTGGTGACCTATGGTTCCGCAGTATCCCATTTTTTAATGATGACAAACACTTCATTGAGAATTGAGGTTAGTAGCATAAGAAATCAAAATTAAATTCTCCCTAACTACATGCTTCCTCTTATTAAGATCCTATGAGATAAAAGTCAACAATTCCTATAAAAAGTCAACAATGACTCCCCCTTTGAAAAACAATAAAGGAAATAAAGTTATAGAAATTTTCTTAATCTCAACATATTTCTCTCCTTTTAGGCAACATCAAAAAGTGCTGTAAACTATAAAGGTTCAAAAAGTTAACTTTCAGTCAAACTAACTTCATATTTTTCAAGATTAAGCATTAAGATCATTAAGCCTTCTCACATATGACTTTCTTACAAATAATTTGATTATGTATATTGAAAAAGAGATTGTCGAAATTTTACTACAGATTCTATTTTTGAAGACTTCGTCAATTTAAAAGTGTTGTTTACAATTTTAGGTATGCAATTTTTTTATTATATTTTAAATTTTTTATTAAATGTTATTACATATATAATTATTATATTTGTGTGTATTCATATCTTCAAGACAATGCTAGATTCATTATTTATTATGCTGTTAGAGGAAATGCAATTCATATTTGATTAGTAAATAAAAGTCACTTAATGGATAACGAGTAAATAGTTATAACTCGAGTTGTTAGTAATATAGTAATTGTTTTTAATGATTGTCACTCGTATTTGATTTGTTGATAATTGTTAATAATTGGTTATCACGTGAGTGATTGTCACTTGAGTTTGAGTAATCATCGGTTTAATCTTTTTTGTCCACTACTATCTCATGTCTATTTGGTCAATAATAGTTATTCAGAAATTATCACGTGAATGGTATTGGATTGTATATAGTGATAATTTTTTTTTTGGTTAGTTAATAACATTCACTTGGTGATTAGCAAGTGAATAGCTATTATCATGTTTTTTTATGGTAAAATCGCTATTATCATGTTTTTTTTGATTATTAAGTAGATTATTTTACCTTTTTCTAATTAAATTTTGTATGGTGATTATTAATTAAATTAGCTCTCCTTGTTCTATAAATTAAATAATTATTTTTTATGATTTTATCATTTTTGCTCCAATTCATTAAATTTGTCTGACCTATCTTAATAGAGATTGTTTCAACCATTTTAACGGTCCATTCAGTTTAAAAAAATAATAATATTCAAGTAGCATAGTTATTAAAATAGAGAAAAATGTTTATCCTTTTAAATGATACAACTTGTGTTGTTTTACTCTTACAAAGAGGTGGAACCCATAACTTTATTTTTTTTGTCAACTCTCTCCTCTTTATTTATCTCTTTTTCTTTTAAAATAACACAATTTTACATCATTTAAAATGACACACAATAACCCAACTAAAAGAACTACGAGAAGCTCTACCCAAAAAAAGAAAAGAGAGAGACAGGAGAACTATGAGAAGGAAAAGGATTTGAAGAGTATCGTAAAACCGTGAGATGATAATAAGAGCAATACAATTTAGGGGAGGTTATACTTAGAATTTTTTTTTTTACAACCTCTTACAACCATATATCATAATCGTTGATTGGCGTAAATCAACAGTTATAATTTTCGTAAATTAAACTCATTAATTAATTATTAATTTATAATAATTGACAACTGTTGATTGACGGAAATCAACGGTTATGATATATGGTTGTAAGAGATTGTAAAAAAAAAAGTTGTAAGTATAACATTTCTTTACAATTTAATTAAAAAGATGTCACCATTTGTGATCTAATTAAAATAAAATCCCACACAACATCAAAAAATTTATGCTTTATCTATTTACTAAAATAATATAAATATTAAACAAAAAGTAATTCACGAGCAACGCAAATATTTCAATATACAAAATTTTATACGGAGCAGAAAAAAAAATACTTATATCCTTTTATTGTTCCAGTTCTACTGGATTCCAAATAATGTATATTATAATAAATTTTGCATTATTCTATAATGAATATTATAAAATTTCCTATATTTTCCTTTAATTGTCAAACAACTAATAACATAAAATAAATTATCTGTTATCAAAAAAATAAAAATAAATAAATTATCTAAAGACTCAAGCGCACTATTCTGTTTGCCTTATCTCTAGGTGCATCAAACTTTACCTTAATCAGAATTTGCTTGTTAGATTAATAAATTAAAGTAGTGGAAGCATCAAATTAGTCCTGAGTTTTTTTCTAAACAAATGCCTTAAGTATTCGTAGAAGAATTAATAATATTAAATAAAAAGCACGTAACTGATAAATTAAAAACTTAAGAAATATTAATCATTTTCTTTTTTAAAACAACTACAAAGGTTTTATAAAATATACTAAACATTCTTTATCCGATGAATTCAAGATATTAATAATGATTTTTTTTTTAATTTATCTTCATAGAGTAAATTAAAGTATATTCTTTTGAGAATTATTAATTCTCTAAATTTACCCTTTCTTGAAAAATAACACACACCTTAAGTTACGGTGTTTTAAATTAGTAATGAAAACAAAGGTGAGCAAAACGAAGAAGCATTAATTAATTCCCCCGAAATGGCACTTTCCCAAATGCAAGGAAACTGTGCTCCCCTCGTGCGCGCGTGACCAATTCTCTCTCTCTCTCACACACACACACACACCAACTCAAACGAACGAACAACGCTAAATGTTCCCTTTCTTTTTATCTTCCCTTCACATTTCGCCCCCAACCAACAACAACATCAAAAAAACACATTCCCACACTAACCTATCCTCTTCTTTCTTTTTTCTTTGCATGCTCTCGGAGCTCCGGCTCCATTAACGGAGCCCCGCTTCACCCAACAAAAAACAAAAACAAAATAAAAGCCGAAATTCATTTTCTACTTTTTTTGTTCGTTGCAGATCTCAAAACTGAACAAGAATGTCGAAACCATGGGGCAATATCGGAGCCTGGGCCGCGGACTCGGAGCGCGCCGAAGCCGAGGAGCGAGAAGCCGAGGCTGCGGCCGCGGCGGAGTCCCAGAACTTCCCCAGTCTCACGGAGGCCGTGACCGCCAAGCCCAAGAAGAAAAAGGCTCAGATGTCGCTTGCCGAGTTCAACAAGAGCAATTACGGCTCCGGCGGTGGCGCAGCCGTGCGACAGGGTTTGACAATGGACGAGATGATCCGCCTCCCGACGGGTCCCAAGGAGCGTTCCGCGGAGGAAATGCAGTACAATCGGCACGGCGGTGGGTTCTCGTCTTACGACCGGTCCGGCGGGCCGAGGCGGGACCGCGATGGCGGCAACAGTGATGGTTCTTGGGGTGGAGGGAGAAGATCATACGGTGGATTTGATGAAGAACGCAGGGGTTCTAATTCTAGGGTTTCGGAACTCGATCAGCCGTCGAGGGCTGATGAGGTTGACAATTGGGCATCGGTGAAGAAATCTCTCCCTTCACTCGATTCTGGGCGGCAAAATAGATACACCGGTGGTGGTGGTGGCGGTTTTGGCGGTGGCGGTGGTGGAGGAGGTTTTGGCGGTGGTGGTGGTGGTGGAGGTGGCGGTTTTGGCGGTGGGTCCAGGGCTGATGGGGTTGATAATTGGGCGGTTGGTAAGAAGCATGTTCCTGCTAGATCTTCCACGTTTGGCTCCGGTTATCGCGATTCCAGTGTGGAGCCTGATCGCTGGACGAGGGGAACGCCACGTGAATTTGAGAGGGAGAGGGAGAGGGAGCCGGAGCGGGAGCGACCGAGGTTGGTATTGGATCCGCCAAGAGGCGATGGTTCTGTGAATGAAGCTCCGGCGAGGACAACGAATAAGCCGAATCCGTTTGGTGCGGCGAGGCCTAGGGAGGAAGTATTGGCTGAGAAGGGATTGGATTGGAAGAAGATGGAATCGGAGATTGAGGCGAAAAGTGCACACTCTAGCAGGCCTTCCAGTGCTCAATCCTCTCGTTCAGAGAGTTCAGGGTTGCAGGGTACAGACGCTGTGGTGAAACCCAGACCCAAGGTGAACCCCTTTGGGGATGCCAAACCTAGGGAGGTTTTGCTGGTGGAGCGAGGCATGGATTGGCGTAAGATTGATCTTGAATTGGAGCATCGTAGTGTTGACAGGTTCGTGCTGCATTTCATTTGTTATTGATCTTGATGCTTTTGAACCTTCCTTCTTTGCTCCGTTATTTTAAACTTTTAATTAATATCATGTCTATAATGGAGGGTTGATAATGGTATTAGCTTAGAAGCATGTTAATATACCCATTATCAGTGTCTAGGCTTTTGTCTGGTTATCCCTTATTTGCATGGCTTTAATAGCTGTAAGTAATTCCCAAAAAAAGCTTTCTTCCCCATTATACAAACAAGAACCGTGTATAAGTTTCTGTCATGGAGAATTGTTGTAGTGTGCTGAATTAATTTGATTTATGGCAATATTCATAGCTCAGGCAAATAATATGGCATGATAAATAGGTAAAACAGGTCAAAGATTCTAAACTGGTGCTAATTCTGGTATTGGGTTAAGTCTCAAGGTGATGGTATTTCATCAAACTGGTCAATGAATGGATGGAAACAGCATTTTTTTTTATAGACATTGATCATGGGGTTTTGCTTAGTTCATGTAACGTTCAATGGATTATGGAACAATTATAACTAATTAACTATACTGATTCATTTTACGATGTTTACTCCTTTTAAATTATGGTTCTTCCTTTGGATGCCATTCCCCTTCCCGTAGTCCCAAGCAGGTTGTTATTTGGTGGAGTTGGATAATTGGTAGGGGGAGTTTGCATTTAACTGATAAGAGTGTAGCTTTTTTACCACACTGATGCAGTAAGTTTTTAATGGGAATAAAAGACGAGTGTTAATTTCATTTTGGTGATGGTTGCTTTTTTGTATGGGGATATGTTGGAAGATTATGCTCTCTGACACATTTTCCTTATTACAAAGTAAATGGTCACTATAATCCTAGATCAATATCCATACGTGTATTGGTATAGTGTTTTTGGAAAAATAATAAAGATTTAAGTATAGTAGATTGCTATAATAATGAGGCTTCCAGTCATTGAGGTAGTAAGTTACATCTTTTTGTGACCTTCATTGTATTGAAGTACTGGATGGAAGTCAGGTACTTTTCCCTTATATTGGGGATGGGTTGAGTACTTCAATCAATTTTTTCCCTGTCTTTCACATCTTCCTAGTTATTTCAGTTTTACGTTAGAGTGGATTGTGCAGGATAGGAGTCTTTTGGTCGAGGATTCTTTCATTTCGCCCAAAGTTTTACAAAATTTGAGGATAACACTGTTTGTGGCACTTGAGCGAAGGGGTTTATTGTTTTGAGTCCATATCTAATGCTTTAAGAGGGATGAGTGGATGAATGAGATTTTTTATTGCCTTATTTGTGACCTAGTTTGTCTGTAAACTTTGTCTTTATTGTTTTATATGAACTGGCTACATTAAATAGATTTTCAATGCTCAGTACTGTCTTAGGGTACAGCCGTACAGGTTATATATTGAGGTGAAACATACTAAAATTTAATATTATCACAGTACCATGTGCATTTAGTTGGGTTTGGTCTGTAGACAATCATACAAAATTTGATGATTCTTTATACAAAACAATTTGTTAGAGTGGAATTCAAATGCTTATTATTATTATTTTTTCGCCTCTTGAATTTCACATGATATAGACATCAATTATTTTTTTATAAAAAGTTTATGGTTTCAATTGAGCAGAAATCTTTGAAATATTGAGGGAATGCAATTGGCTTCATTTTGTGTAATTTAATCAACACATCATCCTGGAGAATACCTTTCAATCTAAGGGTGGCTATAGCGCAAATGCATAGTTCATGTTGAAAGGTATTGGATTGATTTATTTTTACACCTAAGTGGTAATAACATAAATATCTTTTAGTTTTGTAATCACAGAATTCTAATAATGGATGAAAGAGGTGAAATTATTAAGTAGATGTTGAAATGGAATGTGAAGATAAAGACATGCAAGAAACATTCTAAAGTCAAGCTTTAACATCTAACAAATTTACTGGTGGATGCAAATATTTGGGCTTGTGATGAACAAAATTGGTCAAATTACGGTTGATTCAGTTGAAGATAGGGAGAATTGACGAACTACAAAATTACCTTGGGGTTGAAGACTGAAAATGTTTTATCAAGAGGTTCAAAGTAAGGGGTGGTGGTGCATGACAAAGGGGAAGCATAATCATTATAATTTGGTTATATTATAGTTTTTAAATGAACTGTTTTTAAATATATTATTGATTTACTTTAGGTAATTTCAAGGTATTTATGATAGAATTGAAGTCCTGTTAGTATGCCATATGGATTGGGTAAATCCTAGAAGAAAACTTATTACTAGTCAAGTTCTATTTTATCTGTGAAAGGGCCTGCTTTGGGTAAACCGAGATACAACTTTCATCGGAACAAATAGATCTTTTAAATTCAGATTCCAGTCATCGACTGATTGATTAAGCTAGTTAGTTAAAGAAGCATGAGCAACGGATCCTTATTGCTCAAAACTAGTAGAACAATTCTGGAAACTGTAAAGATCTTCAAATCTCTTTTTTGTTTTTGGTAGAACAAATCTCTTTTTATATGGAGTGGAAGATTTCTAGATCAACATGAAAACTCGAAGAGACAAGTTTTCTTTTCAAGTGGAGTGGAACTGATGAGATGAAAAAGGTGGACAATTTATAATTGGGAAAAGCATTTTTTTTTTAAAGGATATAACTTTGTGTCATTTTAGATGAAACGACGTTGTTTTGGTGCATGATTGGTAATTTTTTGTATTCTCTCTCCTCCACTTTCTCTCTCTTCCTAATTTTATGGAGAAGAGAGAATGAAAAAAATTACCAATTATGCATCAAAACGACATCGTTTCATCTAAAATTGCACAATGTTATATCCTTTAAAAGGACAAATGTTTTTCCCTTTATAATTATATTTTGGTTTTTGATTATTTGTTGTAATTTTAGGGTGATTTATGTAGCTATTCATTGTTATTTCGATTAAAATTATGATAAAAATAAAATCTTATCATGATTGTACATGAAATATGGATGTCCTAGAAGATTGCTTAATGACCTGTCATGTTTTATTATGCCTCTTAAAAGGCTTACTGCAAGTAAAACGATTTTCAGCTAATATTTAGTTATGGAAAATTTGTTGTATGCGCTCAGTGCCATGGTGGATACACCACAACCACCATGTGTGGAACCCATGTGAAATTTGTTGTGGGGCCATCACATGCTGTGAGTGTTCCAATCATGGACATCGTGATTTCATACAGGTATATCTCTCACCTTTAATTATTATTGAAAGTCTTTTCCTTGGCTTCAGTTAAATTCCTGAGTTTACTTCTAGTGAATCCTAGGTTTTCAGCTGGAATGCTACTTAGCCCTGTCCTATATATTTTGGCATTTTGTCTTGCATCAGGGCTTCCAGAATGATGCAAGCAGTTGGTAAGGAAGATCTGTTAATCTTTTTGAGACAGAATTGACATGAAATATAAATACTTGGTGGTGTCAGAATATTAGGGTTATTGAGTCTTAGTGTCGCGGACTTGGGGGTGTACTAGCAGTACTAGAACTTGTCCTAATTATTGGCATGAATAAGAGTATTAGGTTAGAGCATTGCATCATATTATCTATCAATCATTTTTTCAGGTTACTACTGTTAGCTTTCTTTCTCTCTTTTCCTCTTTCACTAACCCTTAATCTATAATTCCAACATGGCATTAAACTATGTTGCATGGTTAACAGTACGGATATGGGATATGGTATTTTTCGGAAGTCTAAGGTATGGGTATGGTTTCGTTCAAAACTCAGAGCATCATCTCCCTTGGCTGCTGTTCAGCTGCTCAGGTGACCCAGAGTAGGTTGCTGGAGTTCGCAAGCTGGTTGTGGTGAGCCAGTATAGAAGGAGGTCCAGTAGGTGGCTTGCTATAGCTGACTGGCTGTTTTTTGTGGAATTCTAATTTTCATGCACTCTGTTTTAGGAGTTCTGTTTCAGCCTTCTTTAAGTTTGCAAGTGGCCAGAGGCACAATGTTAGGGTCCAACTGGTTGTAGAGAGTCCTGTTGGGTATTGATGGCAAAATATAGCAGTTGGCCAGAGCTAGGGCTAGTTTGTTGCGGCTTTGTTTCAAACTCTTTTATTCCTATTTTCTGTTCCGGATTCATTTCCTTTCACATTCTTTGTTCTGCATTTCTGTGACATTACTCAGCCCTCTTTCTGGCTGTGTTTTCCTGTTTGTAGTCAGATTTGCATTGTTTCCTCTTCTTTCATCAGTTTTGCCTCAACTTGTCACTCTGTGTGGTGTGTTTGGTTGCTTTAATGCCTGTGTTTTGCCTGCTTTGTTGCTTTTTCACCTCTTTTTGGTCTCTGTGGTTGTTATGCCTTTGCATGGCTTGTGTGGCTTTGGAATGAGATGCTGTTTTAGGCTTTGGAGTATTTCTTTATTTAATTTTTCCCTTCCCCGTAGATTGGATTTGTTGTTTTTTCTGTCAAGGGATTGTGGATTGAAGATTTTTTGCGCTCCAATAAAAGGCCTAGTTTGAATTACTGGGTGGTATGAGACTGACCCAGTGTTCAGAGACCAGTTTGGAGGTCGATTCGGGCCTTAAGGAGAAAGGTCGAAGACTTCTACCATCTATCTACCTAGGACATGGCCAATATTTTACTATTCAGGAGAATACTAGTAGCCTAAATTTGGTTGTTGAGATGAGTTGTTGGGGTTGAGTGTTTTAATATATTAGGGTTGTTAGTTTTAGTGTTCGTTGCCTTAGGCTTGTATTGGTATTAGTATTACTGATACTTTACCTAATTTTTGTATGACTAGAGGAGTATTAGATTATTATTGTATCATAACTAACAATTTCAGTATACTGTTAGTTGTCTTTTTTCTTTTTCTTCTTTCGTACCTGAACCCTATACTTCCAATAGGTGGATTGCTAATAGTTTTAATCAAGGTTCTATAGCATTTACTCCCAATTGTTTGGCATTAACCAAGACTTGCTGTAATAAATGTAATCTTTTCCTTGTTTATTTTGTTCACCTTATTACAGCCTAGTTTGGTCTGATTAATTAGGTCATGCTTTATTTGTTTGTTGTTGATCCTTCGATATACACGTTACCTTGTTGACTTCTGAAGGAACATTTCAGGTCTGAGACGGAGGAGGAAAAATTATTAAAAGAAGAAATTGATAATTTGAAGAAGCAACTTGAGAAAGAGTCTACAATAAACTCAAATAAGGAATCTGCTGGTGAGGCTGGTGGAGACGAAACCAGTACACATGCAATGTTATTACAGAAACAAAGGGAGCTGGAACTTCTCATCCATGATTTGGATGACAAAGTTCGTTTTGGGCAGAAAGCTGTTGACAGGCCAGGTTCGTCGGCAGGAAAGACTGCTGGTTTTTCTGATAGGCCGCCTTCTCGGTCTGGCTCAGTTGAGGATTCTAGAAGTGTGGATTTCACAGACAGACCACGATCCCGTGGCACGGGGGATATGTGGATGCGTCCTAGTGATGACAGAAGACAATTTCAGGGTAGCAGGGATAAGGGATGGTTTTCGAATAGCAGAGACTTGAATAGGTGAGAGAATACCCACAGTTGCATATTTGTCTCTTCTTTTTTTATTTTCTTCTGATCTTGCCACTTCTGGTAAAAGTTTGCATATTCTGGCTGTGATGTGTTACTCAAACACACAACAATTGCTTGATCAAACTTTTCTTAGAACACGGAATTGACGTTAACTTTGAATTCAATTTTGTTTCTTCTCCCTTTGTATTTTTTGTTCATGTATATTTTTACATTTTGGGTCCGAGAAGTATTTAGAATGCTGATATTTGCTGTCTTACAGGTCAAGGTCAAGAGAGAGATGGTGAACAGCAGTTTTGTGTGGATTAAGAACTATCCTCAACTTTTGATGACCAGAACCTAATACTATTTTGTTACTCGTCTTTTCTAATCGTTTTGTTCATTTTACTCCAGGAATTGGAGCAACAATTATTGAGTACTGGCACTAAAACATTTGCCTAATCTGTTATTGCATCTCGAAACATTGTAAATTTATTTCTCCCCTTCTGGTAATTTTTTGGGTGTCTGATTGAAGGCAGAAAGCCTGTAATTTTACTAGGACTAATTTTCATTGAAAATTATGGAACTTGCTAGTTAATGTGATATTGTTCTGATACTATTATATTTTTCTCCCGATTTTACTCTGCACAATATCGGCCAATTCGATGCATTATCATTAGTATTCCCAAGCTGTGCTTTACTTGTGAAGCGCGAAGCATTTGATTGCAAGAATCGCATATTCATAGAACATTGATGTGTTTTCATCGTAGATTGTCCAAGCTTTTTGGATAAAGGGTTTAGGAGATTGTTCACCGGTCGGCTTCTAATATGCTTCATTCGATATTTTTAATAGTGAAGTTCATATATGGACTGATTTAACATTTTTAAGCAATACAAAATATCAATATATTTCTCAATCACAGATATGAACATCAATGATAAAAATAAAAATATTTACCAAGAGAATATGATGATTGTTAATTGTTAAATCGTGACTATCTTTGAGGTATTGCAAACAGTTAACAGCACAGAGCAAAAGACACTACATAAGTTTATAACTTGTATTTTAACATGACTTATCGTAGGATGTAAGGTTATTTTCAAAATAATCTTTAACATAGTTTCGGTGAATTTAGCTTATTTACTAAAAGCTTGGACATTGCTATTCTCATTTAGCTTTCAATATTTTCATACCTGCATGAAAAGGTAGGGGGAGTAGGACTAGGTGGTAGGGGTATTTTCCATCAAGCAAGGGACAATGGTAAAAAATCGACGCTTACTATTGTTTACCCCGCAAGATAATTTCTTAGAGGGATTGTGGTTCGGTTCACGGCGCTAAAGAGCTATACATTTCCGATATTTAAGGATATCTCCGTTTTTTATTAATTAATTTAAAAAGTAAATACACTGCGAAGAGAGATTTGTGTGAATTGTTGTTCAAACTTCAAATTAGGTCTCGCTGGCCTCTAGATCAAAGGAGAGTTATGGAGACAGTGGGAGAGAAATGGAGACAAATAGTGTCGTGTGCTGTAATTTCAACGACACTAGTTGTGGTTGTGGTGCCAAATCCTGTCATGTGTGGGATGCAGTGTAGTTTCCCTGCAATATTCAACTTCGGGGACTCCAATTCTGACACAGGTGGTATCTCAGCAGCTTTCGGACAAGCTCCTCCCCCCAATGGAATCACTTTTTTCCACGCCCCTAAAGGACGCTTCTCCGATGGTCGTCTCATCATCGATTTTATAGGTAAGCCATACGCATTCCCATAACATTAAACATTCTCCATCCCTAAACTTTTATGATAATTGTAGCATATGGTGCTCAACTTCCAAGTTATAATAATTCTTGAATACCAAATGATGGTTCACTTGGTGCATGAGAGTTAAGCAGACGTGATAAGAGTATGCATTCGATACTTTCCCAGTACCATCTGGTTTAAAACTTTAATACTGTACCCGTTCAAAATCGAACTAGTCGCGAAGCGATAAACCAATTGAAATATTTTATAAAATTTCTGATTAAAATTTCATTTCAACAGCAAAAAACTTGGGCTTGCCTTATCTGAGTGCTTACTTGGACTCTATGGGCTCAAACTTCAGTTATGGAGCCAACTTTGCAACAGCCGGATCCATCGTTAGACCTCAGAACACAACCCGGTCTCAGAGCGGATATAGTCCCATATCTCTAGACGTTCAGTTTGTGCAGTTCTCTGATTTCAAAACAAGATCCAAACTCATTCGCAAACAAGGTGCACACACTCATATCCTACATTAACATAAGCAAATCCAATTCCAAATTATGAACCTTATCATGTTAAATTAAAGTTAATTTACTAGCTTCTCCACCTTACAATTATATTCAAACAAAGGAATAAAGTTGGTTTGTTAAAATTGAACAAATTAAAAGAGGGGCTAAGTCATTGATTATTTTTAATTTGCAATAGGAGGGGTGTTTGAGAAATTGTTGCCCAAGGAGGAGTACTTTTCTGAGGCTCTATACACCTTTGACATTGGTCAAAACGATCTCAGTGCTGGCTACAAACTGAACTTGACCACACAGCAAGTCAAGGCATATATACCTGATGTATTGGGCCAGTTCTCCAATGTCATAAGGGTGACTCATCTAACCTTTAAGCTTTGATAATTTGCTATGCTGCATGAAATTTATGTAACCATATATGTTTTCTTGTCATGATGTATTAGAGTGTGTATGGGGAAGGTGGAAGGTCGTTTTGGATACACAACACTGGCCCACTAGGATGCTTACCATACATGCTGGATCGCTATCCCATGAGTTCAGCCAAAATGGACAAGTTTGGGTGTGCCAAACCATTCAACGAGGTGGCCCAATATTTTAACCATAAATTGAAAGAGGCTGTTGTGCAGCTAAGGGAAGAGCTGCTAGATGCATCAATCACCTATGTTGATGTATACACATTGAAGTACACCCTCATCAGCCATGCCCAAAAATACGGTAAGCTATAAAAATTTAAAAAGCACCTCATGCTCAGGATTTTTTAATTTGTCTTTGATTATTGTTTCTTATTTTAACGTTAAAAGTGTGATGAAATATAAAATGTTTGGAGTTGAAAGGTTTCGAGCATGGGGTGATAGCATGTTGTGGGCATGGTGGGAAGTACAACTTCAATAATGAAGCGAGATGTGGAGCAACCAAGAGGGTGAAAGGGAAAAAGGTTGTGATAGCCAAATCGTGTAAAGATCCAAGTGTAAGGATTATTTGGGATGGGATCCATTACACTGAAGCTGCTAATAACTGGATCTTCCAACAAATAGTCAATGGCTCCTTTTCAGATCCACCTACATCTATGAAAATGGCTTGTTATGGTCATGCATAAATTAGGTTCCATCTTTTTCTTAAATATTAGGAGACTCAAATTCAAATTGTGTAACAGTGAATTTTCATCATGTGCCTAAATTCAGCTGGCTTGATAAAATGCTTAATGAATTCTGGTGAATAGTTTTATTTATCATTAATATATATTTTTATATGAATCTAAATTTATGCATAAATTAGATGGACTATGAGAGGGGGCATTATGAATTATGGAGTCATAATAAGCATTTATATTTTCCGGCCATAATTTACGGAAGTAGGAAAGCAAAGGCTGCTCTTGATGTTGGAACTATTAATAATTAAATAATTTTTTATAGCTTATAATAATTACCAAAAAATGTTTATATTTTTAGAAAAAGACATAGCAAAAGTCTTAATTGTCTAATACACTGAATCTAGGTATAATACCAAAGATTTATTCGTAAGCAAGACTCTTAATGGATAAGTTGACTTCTTAATTGTCGTGACCTTCACTTCGATGAATCAAAGGACATTAAATTGAAAAGGCTTTAAAAAGTTGTATACAAAAGAGGAAGCATGAGAGTTATATAATCGAGACTTATAATTGACCAACTCACTTGATTAATATTATACTTTGTCATTGACAGGTTTTTATTACCACAGGGGTGCATAATTCAATTAATAAGCAAACTAGAGACTCGAGATGAGCTTACGTAGTTTAAATGATAAGCAAATTGAAATTCTAATAAAACTTAAAAATTTTAAAATTATTATTTTAATAAAAATACTTGATTATTATAAATTCATAATTATTAGGTAAAAGTTCATAAATTCCATGTAATTTATTATTTTATTATCTACACCCCTGCTTTTTTTTTTATTATCAATTATTCCCTGTGATTTAATTCCATTCAAGTTCATCATTAATACCATTAGTAATTTGACTAACTTGCTCATTTTATTTCTACTTTTTGTTAATTAATATGATATAAAAAATTTTGACTCACCAACAATAAATAAGTGAAGTTTAGGTTCATTATAAAGACACGAAGAACAATCATGTGCCTTGTCCATTTCAAAGGTTTCACATAATGGACAGAATATCCCTAAACAGAACACAAAAAAAAGTTAATATTCAAAATTTTGAATTTAATCACTTTTAAACAAAAAGATATTTCTTTGATTAGTCCTGAACCAATCATCCGTTATTTGGCAACCCATTTTATTCTTTTTTTTGTTATCGTAACCAATATTGTCAAAATCGAGTTTCTACATAGAAACGAAAGATGATGGTAGAAACGTAAATCGAAAAAATTACATAAAACGTAAAGATTTTACTATTTAATGTCATGATACTAAATATATATATATATATATATATATATATATATATATATATATATATATATGAATATAAAAAGGGCTTATCATTTCTCAAGCTGTCGGAGATAAAGTTATTTCCGGCTACTAAATCATAACCGTACAAAGATGGATCAACGGTGATAAAAGAAGAGAGAGAAAAGAGGAATCATAACCATTCAAAGGTGAATCAATACATATAAGGAAATAAATAATCAAAACGACGTAGTTTTGGAGTGGCCAGAGATAAATTTATCTCAATCAGCTTGAGAAATATTTTTCCCATATAAAAAAAGGGTTTTATAAGAGTTAGTGAGTATGTAATGTTATAGAGATTCGTTTTGCGTGCCGTAATTTCTTTTTTTTTTTTTTAAAGTGTGGGCCCCACAAAATGTTGTGTGTGTAGAAAAATTTATTGTGTCATGTTAAATGACAAATGCAAATTCCATAAAAAAATATGACATAAGTTACTACTCAAAATTCAATGAACAACTTCATATTTAAAAATTATATGTCTCATAAGACATAAGTCCAAAAATATAAAAAAGAGTTTAATAACTCCTACAACTAAGTTCCAAAAATCAAAAGAATAAATTTTAATAATTTTTAAATTATATAAATTAATTCAAATCAAGCACATCATTTTGCATGAGTTATATGTCCTCAATATCCTTTTCTCTTACTATTATAATGAGATTTTTTTTTTTCATTTTGTCACATCTATCTATATATTGCTTCCTGTAAAAAAATTTCAGGTCCCTTCCAACAATTATTATTTTTTCATATGTTACGTGGTGTTTTTTCTAGTTATAATTAAGTAGACTTTGCTATTGTTTTTATTTTTAGGGTCAGATTTCATTTTTAATAAACAAAACTCTAAATAAGAGTAAAATGAATACATTAATTTAATAACTACCAATTTGAAAGGTAGACTTTTATGGAAAAAAAAATCACAGAGAACAATTAATAAGTAAAAAAAGATAGAAGTATAACTGATAAAAAGAATAAATCACGTGGTGTTATTATTATAAAAAAAAAAAAAAAAAAAAAGGGTTATCCTCCGGTTTCTTTGAGTTTATCCTTGGCAATTATAACGTAAAAAACGAACACTGCCTTGGTGTTGCTAAGCTAAGCCAAATGCTTGTCTCTGCAATCGCCACAGTTGTGACTCAGAGTCCTCTACCCATTCTCTCACTCTCTAACTCCAAATCACACTCACTTTTCTCGAATTCACTCTTTTTTCTCTCTAAAACCCGCAATCGCAATCTCGTCTCCAACCCCTCCTGCTTCCTCCAAACCCTCAACCCCAACCCTAACTCTGATCCTGATGACGCCATCCGCCACGTCACCCACTCCGATTCCGATGATTCCCATAACAACAACCACGCCAACGTGGCTTCCGCCGCCGCATTAGCTTCCGCTATTCGCAAAGCTTCAACCTCACCCGTCGAGTTCACCCAGCGAGTCGAGAAGGACCAGAGAACCGGACTCGTGCTTCCCAGCCCTGACTTTCAGAGACTCTGCCTCCAACAGCTCCACCTCTTTCGCAGGATCGTTCCTGAAGCACTGCTTTCGGTTGTTCCTCGTTCGCAATTTTGTTTCAATTCTTAAATTGTTCAAATTCATTTCACGTTAATTTTAGTTTAAATTAGGATTGAATTGACATTTCACGTTTGTGTTGTGCACAGGTTTATGTTAGACCAGCTGGTAGTTATGTGATGGATCGATTGGAGTTGCGGAGGGTTGCGGTGTACCCTGGAGATGCTGAGTCAGTGACAGAGGGGATTGTCATTCTTGTGGGTGATTTTAACATTCCTGCTGGGTTGCGTGCTGCCGAGGCTGCGCTTTCCAATTTGCAAGTGTGTTTGTTGTCTTGAGTTCACTGTGTTTTTTTTTTGCGGTGTGTGATTGTTGTTGTTAGTTAGTATGGGTCTTAATATTTAAGTGTGAATGTTAATTGTAGGTTAAGGTTGTCCCTGAATGTAAGGCTGTAGTTCTTCCGATGGTGAAACACCCATTTGTTGTTGGTTTCTTGGTTGCCGAGCTTCCACTGTTGGAGGTGGAAACGAGTGAGAAACCTCCAAGTGATGGGCTAGATAACCGCATGTCTGTTGAGGAACATTATTCTTTGCCTCCTTTTTTGGATTTAGATAAGAAGTCATGGGAAATTCAGACCCTTCGGGTCAACGATGAGCCAGTTGGTATGTTCAACTTCACTTCCGAGCAAAGGTTGAATGCCATCAACATTTCGCAATCTCTAGCTATGGCATATGTTATGGATCAGGTTTATATACTGCATCTCCCTTTTTTAAATCATGACAGTAGCTTATTACTCTCTGAATATGAAATGCTTGAAAGTTGTGACACTGCTTGTATTTTGTGGGGGTTGCCTTCGAATTTTCATTTCTTAGCATATGTTATTTGAATGTGTGCTTTGAAAGTTATTGCATTGAAGTTCAAAATCATTCATCTATCACTTCATGGAGTGAAACGGAGAGGTATCGTTTTCAATTGATTTCTCTATAACTGTTTGTTGTATGATTCATAACTCTGTTATAATAATAGTTTTGATATTTGGCATGGGCCCAAATTTCTGGCTCATGGGGTGCTTCTTTTTGCAGAAAGCAATGTTACTTCAGCAGTCAACATGGCAAAATAATGTCAGGATGAGTAATCTAGTTGAGCAAGTATGAGTTAATTGACTGTTATTGCATTTCTTTAATCTCTCTATTTCAAGCCTGTTCTGATTTTTCTTTGTTTAATATTCACTACAGATCCGTGGTCCTCTTTCAAGCATTCAAACCTTAAGTAAAATCCTGTCTATGCAAACAAAGAGAAGTCAGGTATGTAAGTTGTCTAAATCTTGCTTGATGAAACATAAATTTACATACACCTTTCTGTATTAGAGGAGCCCGATCGTTGGGTCAGACCAGGCCCCGACTCAACTTAAGTTTGGGCCAATGGTATGGGTCAGGCCATGTGATCCAAAATCAGTAATTTTGCAGATTTCATATGACATTGTTGAAGACATCTTGGTACAAGGTGATCGTCTGAGAGACGTTCTCCAACAACTCCAGGATGCTGTATATTTGACAAAGGTACTTCTCTCTCTCTCTCTCTCGCTTACGCTTGGGATCACACATACATACACATACTTTTTATATACCAATAATCAATAAATGCTCCTTGGAATTTCTTCAATCTTATATCTTAATGTCTCTTCCTCTTTATATTTATAAAGTAAAATATTATGTGCTCTCCTTTATCTTGTTCTTTTCATTGATTGGATTTTCCACGACAAGGGACCCAAAGAAGGTGTTTGACATGTGAACATAATTTATTAGTCAATGATCTACAAGATAATTGTTGCAACATAGTAAAGCACTAATGGTGGCACTAGTTATGTACATTCTGTATACGCCTTTCAGTACCTACCTAGAAGTGATTCTTTCTGCATTTTAAATATCTTTTTCCTTAAAAAAGTATTTGTTTTGAATGAAGTTTCTGCTGACCAGTTTTCAATTGAGGGAATATTTAGTAAGCATTTTAGAAATAAGCAAATAATGCATGCACACGCTTATAGAAACTAGTGCCTCTGATGAGTTTTGTCCAATATGTAGGCTAATATAGTGCGTTACAATGAAGAAGCAATCAAGAAAATGAATGGTTCTACTCATATACTTGCTGAGTCAGTAAGATCTCTAGATAGTTCACCAAGGGATGGATCTGCAAATAAAATGAAAAAATCTAGTGAGTCACTTTCTCTAAGTGCTGCTACCCACGATGTAGAGATGCCCCTACCACCTTTGGCTCTTGCTCCATTACAACAAGGAATCAGGTAGGTTTCGTTGGTTGATTAATGCATGTGCTTCTTTTAATATTTCATGATTTCCAACCCCCCCCCCCCCCCCCCCCATTTCCACTTATACATATATTCCTGTGATATCCCCCACTCGAAACCCAAATAAACTCCAAAGTCGGCACTTTTTGTGGCATCAATAATATCTTGTGTATTTAATTTCTTTCATTAGCTTTCAGGTATCTGCTTTTTGGCTTTTAGATGTGTATTTCTTTTTTTCTTTCAACAATTAGATGATTTCACATTGCTTTTGCTTATGCTTTTCTGTTAATGTCAGGAAGACCATGCAATGTTTCTGAAGTATTGGCAGACTTGGTTGATTCAGTGAGACCTCTTGCCCAGAGTCAAAAGCGTGTGGTAGAACTAAGTGAGCTCTCTTCCCCTTTGCAAGCTGCCGTAGAAGAACCCGCTTTACGCCAGGCTTTCAGCAATCTTATCGAAGGTGCTTTACTTCGCACACAGGTTAGAGGAAAGGTTGAAATTGTGTCTACTGCTGCACCAGCAGGAGGTGCCCTTGTAATAATTGATGATGATGGACCTGACATGCACTATATGGTAACTTGAGTCCACTCCCACTCACTGCTGTGCTTAGGCGCTTTTCTTTTTGACAAACTAGAAATTGTTTTATGAATGTAAATCATAAAGTAGAGGCACCTCTTTGGGGAACTTAGTAACATTTAATGCCTTGGACTTGCATAAACAGTATTGATGCCATTTTCTGTGGGAATTGGTGCTTATTTTAAGAATCTTAAGTGAGAAAAACAGCAGCTTTTTCCCCACGTATAGTTTACATGCTTCTTAATAATGTCCCGGGTAAGTCTCTGGGGATGTGGAGCTCTCCACATAATTACCCGAATGCTGTAGATATTCAAACGTTTCCTTTCTGGTACCAGAAAGATTTGAATCTATGACCTCTTTCAAACTACTGAAATCCTACACCTCAAGTCCACTCCTAGTGGCTTCTATTTAAAAAGAATTCTTTGATTGAGTGCTTTGTTGCGAGGGGAATTTAATTTTGTGAAAGTGGAAATTAATTGTTGGTTGTGAACTTGTCTGCAGACGCAGATGCACTCACTCACACCGTATGGACAAGAACTCTTGTCTGATGAAAGTGTCGAAGACAATATGACATGGAACTTTGTTGCTGGGCTGACTGTTGCCCGTGAGATACTAGAGAGTTATGGCTGTGTCGTGCGGGTTATATCACCTCGGACCAAAGATGCTCCTCTTGGAACCGGGGGAACTCGTGTAGAACTCTGGCTTCCTTCTGCAATTGTAAAATCTGATTTGAGCAGCCATGCCCAAGAGGTATAGCATTGGTTTGAAGTTCCATGAAAGATAAATAGATACATTCCCAAACAGTACCACATTGCAGCACTTGAGAAAACTGGAACGAATAAGATTGGAATTAAGGGGTGGTAAATATTACTAGTTCTTTCTTTATTGTTTGTTGCAAACGATATGTAGCCGGTTATGTATATAGCTCGTAAAGATTCTTTTGGTACATAGTTAATTTTATGATTTTGTTAATGTCGTGCAAACAGTGTATTACACCATACATAACCTGTGTGTTACATGATAGGAAAACTTGTGGGGTTTATGAGAGACTACGTGTCTAAATCTTCAGCATTTGTACCTTTTGAATCCCTTTCATCCAATTTAAAGAAAAGATTATCAGTTTCAGAAATGAATGGACATCATACTTATCGCTGTGTATTGTTGACTTGTATGAAAAACTATACACGGGAGTGTATATGTTAAAAATAAAAAATATATAAAGGAGATTTTTGGACTTATATTTAAATAAAAAGTATTATAACAGTTGTAATTAAAAGAGGTTAATGTAAGTAGCTTTTAATTGGGGTTCATAATTCTTTTGGATGGGCAGTGGCTGCCGTTGTTAAATTTTCATGTAACTAATAATCGAAACTCATTGAATGGAACCCAATGGGTGTATGAGTTTGAGTTTGATTAAAAAAAAAAAAAAAAAACTCATTAAACGGGATAAACAATTGATCGATTACTTGTCACCGGAAAGAATTAGTATCGTGGGTAACGGTGTATTCTACGAGAAAAACTTTGATATATTGGGAGCATCAAATTTGGTGTTTCCTTTTACTAAAAAGAGAAATTTTTTAGGATTAAAAGAAAATATTAAAAAAAGTTTGAGTAAAAAAGGAAATTTTTTTTCTCTTTTTAGTAAAAAAGTGTTCGGTGCACCGAAACAATATCATTGCAAAGTAATGTTTCCTTTTAGGCTTTTACTAGGTAGAGTAGAGGTATAACCGGTTATAAATCATAAAACATTAAATAATATTATTGTTTCTCAATTGATAACCTGTTATATGTTATATAATAGAGATTAGAGTAAACACATTTTTTGATCCCTGGCAATATCTACGAAATCCTTTTTAATTCCTGGCAATAAAAAAGGACCAAATTGGTCACTAAAATTATGGAAAAAGGGTCACCTTAGTCCTTATGTCAACTTCTCCGTCACTAACGTGGCCCTTTTTGCATACTGTTAGGGACCAATTTGGTCCTTTTTTATTGTCAAGGACTAAAAAAGATTTCATAGATATTATCAGGGACCAAAAAAGATGTTTACTCTAGAGATTATACCATTGAAAACTGAGTGCCTTGTCACCTGATCAAACTCCATATCAATGGTGTGCCATGTAGCCTGTACCCTCCATTTCTCTGTTTTGTATTTGTTTTGTTTTTGCCTTTTTTGTCCCTTTTTTTTTTTTAACGTCTCTCGCCATCAGTTTCAACTTCTCTACACCAATTCACCACCATTCAATTGCACGATGCTCCCATTGATTTCTGGGCCTTGGATTATTCTTAATTCATTTGGGTATGACTATGGTCATATTATGTATTCATGCCTAACCATATATTGAGATATTGCACTGGGAAGGCACAATCAAGGATTACTCGAACAACATTCTGTGTGTTTAGAAGTTTTTTTTTTAAATTTTTTTCAAGTGTTTAAATGTTAATCTTCTTGTTTTAGTTTTTTTAAAAATCTTTTAAATAAAATATAATTCAAAAGTCAAATATTCTTTATAAAATTTTAAGTTTAATCCTATTATTATCATCATCGCTACCACTTCCACCACAACTGCTATCATCACCATCGTCGCTACACTGCTGCCACCGCTATTAGGGATGTGCATGGCCGAACCGAATCGAATTTTTTGAAAAATAGAATCGAATTGGTTTAAATGGTTCGGTTCGGTACAAAACTGGTTCGGTTAGAAAGTGATTCGGTTCGGAATCAGTTCGGGTCGATCCTATTTTGAAAAGAAAAATAAAATAAAAAATAAAGTTATAAAAATCAATTTGGTTCGGTTTGAAAACAGTTCGGTTCAAAATGGTTCGGTTCTTAAACTGGTTCTAAAAACTGGTTCTTTAAAAATCGGTTCGGTTCATGAACTGATTTTTAAAAATCGGTTATTTTAAGAGCGGTTCAATTCGGTTCAATTTTTTTGATTATTTTGCATACTCCTAACCGCTACCACAGATGCCACGAATAAATCTTGCTTCCATGATGATTATTAGTATACTCCAACCCTTATTTTAATAATTTTGTTTTCATATATCTTTTTAGTAAGTATTTTTCAATGTTAATATCTAAATATTTTTTTAGGGATTTATTTTTTCTAAAGTTATTTTAGACAAATTGATCTAATGTTCACCGAAACGACGTCGTTTTGGGACGAAAATCATTGTGTGTTTGTAATTTTAAATTATTCTAGGGTTATAATAATTTTTATCATTTTAATTTTTTAATTTTCAACCCAAAATTACATCGTTTCGATAAATATTGGGCAAATTTATCTAAAATAACTTTAAAAACTTTATTATCTCTTTTTAGTTAAAAATGATTTTCAAGTTCTATATCTAAATGCAAAATAACTTGAACTTAAACAATTTTTTTTAAAAAGAATTTATGAAAAAAATATTGTAAAGTAATATATTAAATAATTTATTATTATAAAAATTTATAAGAAAATACTTTTACGGGTGTATCTTAGTTGTTTTGCTTATGGGAATGGTGTCATGGTGAGTTGTTTGGCACACTTTCTGTCTGTTCATTTCAAAGAGTGATTAATATCACTATTACTTTACCGTCTAAATTATATTAATTTCTAAAAGTTCTAATGTTCCGTTAGAAGTAACTAGCCAACAACTGATATATTTTGTTTATACTGACCACACAACTTTTTTTTTTTATCACTGATCAGTTGTTGCCTATGATTGTTGCCAATATTTTTTGAGGAAGCTCGTGGGAAGTGATGTCTATGTTGGGACCACAGAAGATGACTTTGTAGAAGCACTTGCCTTGGTGTTAAGAGCATATATCGTGATGGTGTGTAAGACCTTATTGTTAGATACAATGTAATAACATGGAGCGTTCAAGAGAAGAAACTTTTATTCTTTGATCTTTGGCAATAACTTCTGATCTTACCGACAGTCATACCAAAACGACAATTTAAAAACTCATTTATGATTGATATGCCACACTTATAATTTTTCTGACTTCACAAACAAAATTTAAAATGTTGGCCGTGCGTCCTTCATTTCTCTATTAATATCCTCTTATACTATATAAATTATATTAAAATAATAATACTAATAATATTTTATTATTAAATTAAAAATTAATATTAAATGAATTGATTCAAATAATAATTACAGAATAATATTTCTGCAGATAAGTTATCTGCATTTACTCCCAAACAACGTCGTTTTGGGATTGAAAAATTAAATAACTATAATTATAAAGACTATATAATCCTGAAATAAATTAAAATTACAAAAACACCATGATTTTCACCTCAAAATAACGTCATATTAGGCTTACTACAGATAACTTATCTGCAGTAACTGCAGAAAAAGCGAACCCTAATAGTTAACCCTTATCTCTTGTTTTTTTTGAAATCTTTACAAATTCAAAAGTATTATATTTATTATTAACAATGAAAATTTCACTATTAATTTCTCTTTCTATTTTTTAATTTATCAGAAAAAATACTCTAAAGTAGAATAAATTTTTCGAATAAACATGAAAAAAATCAATAATTCAAAATTATTATTATTAACAATAAATTTGATATTTTTAAATTTGTAGTAATTTAAAAAAAATTGTGTCACATAAATGAAAATTATTTAACAAGATAAATTGATGTTAATTTCAAATTAAATATCAAAATAATAATACAATTTAATACCAATTCGGTCACATTATCAAAATAACTATTTACATGTGACTAACTTTTTAACCAAATTAGAAAAGAAAAGAAAAAATTAATATGAATTGACATTATTGAGTATAAATTTAATATTTTTGAATTTATAAAATTTTAAAATATAATCATAAAATGACAATATATGCATTGTTAACTATTATTTATTTTAATAAATCAAATGCAAAATAATAATTTTTATTTGTGAAAATAATTGTTTAAATTTGAATATTTTCTTTGATAAATTAAAATTAAGAAAAATCAATCACCCAATTATTATTATTGTTGGACAAGTGGCTTCAATACTCAAGAGGGAGTGAATTGAATTTTACAAAAAAATTTCGCAAAGTGCCTCTTTTGATATTTTAAAGAGTGTTTCTTCAATAAAATAATTTAATAAGGAAAAATCTAAGTGTGAGAGCAAGTGTGTGACCAATAAAGTAAGCAAGCAAATAGATAAACACAATCTAAAAATATAATTTCAATACTAAAGTAAGGAGTTTAAGATTAGAGAATCTGCAAACTAGATATATCATAGTTCGGTTACCACCATCGTGACCTACGTCCAGACTGAAGCCGTTCGATCAAATCTTTTCACTAGCTATCAAGCTTGATGGTGTTTGACAAACCACTACAACCTTTCAAGACTTCGGGCTCTTGATGCCTCACAATGTTACACTCCAAATTTTCTTAAGAATTTGGTGACCTTTCAAGTGTAAGGGTTCACTCCCTTAACTATTCAAGAGATCAAATGGAGGTGTTTAACAATAGCTAAGTACCCTCAAAGTACAGATTATACAAGTTGAAGAACAGATTATACAAGTTGAAGAACTATGGGTGTTGACACTCTCACAAGAATAAAACTCAGATAATTTATGATCATAATGATTGAAAATAAGCAAATGATGTGAATTAAAACTAGAATTATGATCAAGAAGAGTTGTCCAATCAATGGAACAATGATCTCTATTTATAGAGGGGCCCATGAGCCTTTGTACACCTATTTTGGCAAAACTAGCCGTTTATAGCCGTTGTTTTCGTCTTCTGGTGCAATAGGAATCGATTTCCAATGAGTGAGAATCGATTCCGAATGAGTGGGAATCAATTCCCAATGAGTGGAAATCGATTCCCTACTTTTTCAGAGAGTGGGAATCGATTCCCAACCTGTTGGAAATGTTGAAAATACGTTCAAAAGCATTTTAAATCCCTTTCAAACATGTTTTATTGCTTAATTGATTCTTGAAAACATGTTTTTATAAATACGTGATGTTATAAATCCTTTGTGTAATCAAATAATGATTTAATGCATGTATTTCAACAGGAATATGTTTGAGCTTACTCATGCAAGAAGTCAATTACCCTCACAATTAATTCTAAGTCCTAAAGTATATTACTTGAGATTTCTTAGACTTCATGAGTGTTAGTTATTTGTTTCTTTTTTATTGTTGCAACTTGAAGCCTTTCTTCCATACTTTGTTTGTTATCATCAAAATCCTAGAATCTTTATGTTCTGCATTGGTTCCACAATTATTATACATAAATTTAACATTTTTTAATTGTAAATATATTAAAAAATCACAAAAAATTAAGACTTTTAATTTAACATAATTTATTAAAGTGAGAGGTATGTGTGAAAGAAGGAGTGAAATTACCCAATGGGTGCAGCTCAGTTGGTAATTTGGCGCTGAGTTAGTGGGGTTGGACATGTGTTCGATTCCTGCTGAATGCATTCTTAGGGAGGGGGCTGAACCTTTAGCCATCACTGCTCCCCCGCACTCCGGATTAGTCCCATAGCCGGCTCAAAGAGTCGAAGCTCGTGGGGATACCGGAGGGAGCCAACTCGCCTCAAAGAGGTAATTAGGGTTGGGTAACTCCAAAAAAAAAAAAAAAAAAAAAGAAGGAGTGAAATTTAAAATGGATGTCCACGGTTCTTCCACGTGGTAGCTTGCTTAAAGTGTGACAATTGATCAATAGATCGTACAAATTAAAATATATATTTTGTACCGAAAAAGAAAATATAATTTTATAAAGAGTAAATATCTTTTTTGGTCCCTAACAAAAAATACGGTACTCATTTTAGTCTCTTACAAAAATAAATTAGTCAGTTAGTCCCTAACAAATTCAAAGTGGACGCATTTAGTTGAAATCGTAGTCCCTCACAAATTCAAAAAAGACCCATATTAGTCTCTCAAAAGGACTAAAATAGGTCTACTTTAAATTTGATAGGGACTAACTGACTGATTTATTTTTGTAAGGGACTAAAGTGTGAACCGTGTTTTTTATTAGGGACCCAAAATGGTATTTACTTTTTTAAAAATTATAATATAGCGACACTTGTGGCTAATGGGGTAAATTGGTTGCACCAAATTAGATTTTGATCTAAATATATTTGGTCCATGTAAATTATTTTGAGTTTGAATTGACCTATTAATCTAGTATAAGTTAAATTAGAGGCTTGACCTGTCTTATATTAAAAATCAAAACGCTTGACTTATATCTATTAACCTATTTAAACCTATCAATCATTCAATATCTGTCAATAGTCGAAAAAATAAATAAAATAATACTATTTTATTAATCAAAATTATTTAAATATTTTTATTTTATTTTAAAGAAAAATAAATAATATAATATAGGCCGATCTGTAGGTTTATAGGTCAACTTTCTATAAGTAAGCATATGGCCTATTTTTTTAATTTTTTTTTTAAAGTTTAAATATTTTATTTTATTAAATATATTAAGTTAGACTTGACCTGATATAGTCTGTGCCGTTTGTCACATTTGCACTCGTACTTGTGAATTTGTCAAACCACTAGATAAGGGTTAATAGTGTGAACTTTTGCACTTTAAATAAGATTGTAGATTCTAATCTCAATGTCATCAATAATTTTTTTGAGGTTATTTCATATATAATATATATTTTAATTATATTATTATCACGAGAATATAAAATAGTTTGAATATAAATTATTACTTAAGTAATTACATCATTCAATTAATTTTAAAATAAGGAATTATAAATATAATGCATCAATAATGTCAATTAATATCTTTTAATTACTTTTTATTTTGTTTGCATTTATTATTTAAATATATTTGCTTAATTTTAAAATCAATTAAGGATTATATTATTAAAAAAATCATATCATAAAATTATTTTGAAGGTAAAGAAATAAACGTTTCACGTGATAAGAAATCCGTCCACTAGAAATTAATATAATAATTTACATCGGGGATAACCGGATAAGTTAATTTTATTTTTTTGAATAAAAAAAAAAACAGAATATGAATTTAAATGTACGGATTGTCCCGTGTATTATTCTTCAGGTACAGGACTCGAGGAGTCGCGAAAGACAGAGATTTGAAATCGGTTGAAAACTCACCTAAATTTATTCCACCTAAATTTCTGGATTGACAAATATCTGATCACAATCAGATTTTATTTGTTAAGATATTCACCCAATAATAAAAAAAAAAAACCTACCGCAACAATTAATATAAATTAAATTCAAACTTTTGTGAGCAGTGTTTTTTTTTTTTTTTGTGTTTTTTTATTTTATTTTTCTCATATCACACCAAAACCAAAACCTTGTACCATCCGTTTGGTAGTGCTATAAACCCAAAAGGAGAGAAGATTTCATAGGACAGTTAATTGTTGTTTCCGCCGGTAAATCCCTTCCTTGTTTATTTGTTGTCTTTCACGTTCGTTCCGCTCCTCGGGAAACTCGATCACTACCACCTTCATCACAAGCCTCAGATTTCAGTTCAGCAACCACCCAACTGTTGTTTTTCGGTTACACTCTCATCGTTCATAAAAAAAATCATTCTTTTTGCCAGATCTTGCTTATTCAGCCTTTTCCAGGTACGCTTCGCTTTCTCTTCATCAATAACCCCTTTTTAATAGTCTTTTACTGTTTCAGAAACCATATATACATATATGTGCTTATTAAGTCTCTTCCTATGGTGTTTCCTGTAATACACAGAAAGTGTCACATGGTTATGTGATTGTGGATTATGTTGGGGATATCACCTGGTTGCAAAAGTTACTTGCGGAGGTTATTAGGAGAAAAGCACAGGCTTTTCTTGCTAATTGTTTATTTGTTTCAACAATTGGGTTGTGGAAGTTGGACACCTTCATAGTAGAAGTAGTAAGTTAGGCTAAGCTGAGTTGAAATTCTGAGGTTAGATGGAAAAGGAAGAAAAAATTAAGGTGGATATTGATATTTGATTGATATGGTGTCTGTGTTAGATACAAACCACTGATACCTATTCATACTTTCATACACTATTAATGTAGGTCAAGTACTTGTGAAGTACAACTAGTACATGGCCAGATCAATAAGATTGCTAATATAAATATGACTCCTAAACCACTAATAGTTCTAAATTTCTAATATTCTAATGCTTCTCTTCAAGCTTAAATTTACCAAGCACTTAGCATGTTATGAACAGACACACTCAAAGAAAATCCTAGAAATATCATGTTTCCTGATTTTATCCATCATGAATAGCGCTGAAGAGAGGCTGGAATGACAACAAAGCAAATGGCACATCCCAAACACTGATTAACTGCTGGAGAAATAACAAAACAAGATGACTAGGATGGTTCACAGCCCGAAGAGAAATGTTACATGGCCAAGGAGGAAGAGACACCGCCGGAAAGAGGCATATCAGAAATTTCTTGACAATCAATCATACACATAAAAGTCCAACTCTCCCGATTAATCAAAAACAGCGTTTGGAAGATTCAAACATCAAGAATTCAGGAGACCCCAAAACCTTGAATACTAAATATGGCTTGAAATTGGCTTGTGGTTGGAAGAGAACAAGCCCAAACAGTGGTATTTAGAGCCAATCAGGGGGGAAGCATAGTCAACTGCTCCTAGAATTCCACTATTAGTACAATGTTTTGGAGCAACCATAGGAATAGTTGAAACTGAAATAATAAGGTTAGAGATCAATCCAAACAACCAGGAAGAGACCCTACAGGACATTGTCCTTCACTCCTTCTGAACGGAGTATCAAAGCAGAGATAAGGAATCTCAAGGCAGCGAGGCCTTGAGATAAGCACTAAATTAAAGAAGATCGCAGAATCATCCCAAATGTCTAATCAAAATTAACATAGTATTGGTGTAGTTCAACTAGTAGAGGCCAGACCCAATAAGGCTTCTAATGATATTTCTGATACACCAAGAGTCCTAATATTATTGGGGATATTTTATTTATTTATTTATTTAATTTTTTTTTTTTTGGGGGGGTGGGGGTATTTTAATCCAAAGTCATCTATTTCCCTCATACCATGGTGTATTTTCCCCTTTTGTTCTTTTGAACCATTTTCTGGTTTCATTTGTTAACATGTTTAATTCTTCTTTGTACCTTCAACAGCACTTGTTTTCTTATAACAAGCATCTTTGCTTCTTATGCGGAGGATGCATGCCACTTGCTAATTAGTGCAGAATAGCTCCTCTGTATAGTTTTATGAGCATACAATCAGAATAGTTTGGATATAATGGGGATCAGTGCTCGCAGGTCTAATCTTTACAGCTAACTTTGTTATGTTTTGTTTTTTAAGAAATTTTGTATGTGCTAGTTAATATCAGAAACTCTTTTCAATTGACATTTGCATATTGTTGGCTGCAGTTCTACTAATAGAAAACCAAGTGAAAGTATGAGGCTTATTGTGACAACTTTTGTTGGAACAGTTTTTGGCTTCCTTATAGGAGTATCATTTCCCGGATTGACCTCAAAGGTGCAGACTTCGAGTATCCTCTTCTTTTTGGGCGTAGCTTATTCTTGAATGAATTTAAATTGATGATTTGATGTTGCTGGAATTAATAATGGAACTTTAACTCTGGTTACCAATTTGCAGTTAAATCTTCCATCCAGCTTGCTTCCCTCCATTGATGTCTCTTACTTTGAAGACAAATATACAGGTGGCAATGCACGGTCTTTTATGAAGAATAATAACAGCATCTCATCACAAAATCAGTTATTGAATAATACGTCGAAGGTACACATGTCATCCTGTCTGCCTTGTGAAGGATGTTAAAAAGTTATTGGGTTAAAGGAAGTTAATAACTGCATACCTTCGTCCATTAAGAAGCAAAATAATTTAATTGAATTATATAGTTGGAAAACTCATCAAAGATTCATGCACCTTATTTTTTGAATGAAGGATGGTACAGAAGGCAGGATGGGTAAGTGGGCAAGAGAAATGAAGTGACTTTTGTCAATTAGAGTTAATTTATAATTGAAGTACTTGAGGTTTTTAGAATCATGCTTTAAAGGGTTGTAGGAGATAGGCTCTTGGGATTAACATCAACATTAACAGAAAATTGAAGAGTTAAGGTTGGCAGTCCATGAACCCGAGTAAAAGTAAGAAAAGATTGAGGAAAAAGAAATAATTTGGAAAAATAATGTATATAGAAAATTTTAAATGTAGAAAGCAGAATTCCGTATGAAAAGAAAAGGTTGCTTTTATTAATTGATAAAGTGATTATTCAAATGTATAGAAGAGAATAATAAACTATTGCTGTGATTATGTTACAAAAGTGAAAAAGCAAAATAAGATAAAGCACCTAGCAAGGCCTCTTGCTTCTTTTGTTAACACTTAACAGCTTCTGACTATGATTCTGTATTGTATAATATTGGGGAAAATGGCTTGTTAAAGTCTGAATAATAATTGCTGCATATTTTCATGATTCTCTGCAGATTTGGGTTCCATCAAATCCTAGAGGTGCAGAAAGATTACCTCCTGCGATCATTGAAGCTGAGTCAGACTTTTATTTGCGTAGACTGTGGGGTCTGCCCAGTGAGGTGTGTATCCTAAAACACTTTGTGTTCAGAAGTAGAACTTCCATTTTTTTTTTAAAAAAGGTTATTTTTTGGGCGCAGCTGGGGGTTGGGACATAGAAAACATGTTCTTTTGCATGCATAGAAAAATACAGCTAGATACCGATGAAGTTCCTATACTTGTTAATGAAACTTGCAAATGGAGTCTTACGTTTTTTGACCAGAATCTTTGCATGCCTCCATGAAGGAAACTTAATATAACACCCCAAATCCAGGATTGAAACAATCTCAGAAGAATAGTGACGTAGAAAACTTATGTGGCTTGCCACATGTGCATTTTTCTTCTAGCTTGATTTTCTGCTTCTGTTATTAGGCTAATCTTCAAATTCTTGGACTGGAGAGGCCTCGGATGGTTTTATTGTGGTGTATTATCTGTATACAGAGCATTTGATTAAGTTATACTTGCAGGATTTAGCCTCAAAGCCAAAGTACCTTGTGACCTTTACTGTTGGTTATGATCAGAAAAACAATGTTGATGCTGCTGTGAAAAAGGTTATCTCTTAATTTCCTTTTCTCCCTCACTGCATAGGCTTTTGTATGTATCTTTGAACTGGATCTGTTGCTTGGAACAGTTTTCAGGGAACTTCACAATACTTTTATTTCATTATGATGGCCGAACAACGGAATGGGATGAGTTTGAGTGGTCAAAGCAGGCTATTCATGTGAGTGTTCGCAAACAGACCAAATGGTAAGAATCCATTGCTCGATCATACGTATTGGATTAGATGACAAGAAATTTTCACTGTGGCTTTTACCATTAATATTGATTGCCTAACTAAAACCACAAACGTTCTGCTATTTCAGTTATGTTATGATATTAAGCATTTGATTGTTTTCCCTCCTAGGTGGTATGCCAAGCGGTTTCTGCATCCGGACATTGTGGCACCATATGACTATATTTTTATATGGGATGAAGACCTGGGTGTTGAGCATTTTAATGCAGAGGAGTGAGTATTTGATATGATATAATACACACACAGTTAATTTGTATATTATCAGTGTAAAGTTTTTCACACTATCATCCGATTATGTCTTAATTCATCATTAAAGGATTTTGACTTTTCATTTAGTTGCTGTCATGGTCTTAACTTTTTAAATGATGTGGTAATATATGATTAGATGATAGTGTAAGAAATTTTTATATGGATACTGCATTAAAATTAAATCCATATATCGTGCGATTAAAGTTTGATATGCTCGTCTAATTTCAATTGCAGATACATAAAACTGGTGAGGAAGTATGGGTTGGAGATTTCACAGCCTGGCTTGGAACCTAATAAAGGGTTGACGTGGCAAATGACAAAGAGAAGAGGTGATAGTGAAGTTCACAAGTAAGAATGATGAGAATCCAGTGCTGGTTTTCTTTTGGTGCTTGTTATGTAAAAGAATGTGTATTAACTGTTTATTTCTTTGACTTCTTTTAGAGAAACAGAGGAGAAACCAGGATGGTGCAGTGACCCTCATCTGCCTCCTTGTGCAGCGTACGCATCAGTTGAATTATTAACTGTTGTGTTATCTACCCCTACCAAACTGTATCTAATTGCGTTATGCATACAGGTTTGTTGAGATTATGGCTCCAGTATTTTCGCGAGATGCATGGCGTTGTGTGTGGTATATGATTCAGGTTAGATGTTCACTCTTATTATTATTTTTTAATATCCATTGATTAGCTGTTAAATGTTTGTTTAAGTACTTGATGGTGTCTTATTTCAGAATGACTTGGTCCATGGGTGGGGTCTTGATTTTGCTCTTAGAAGATGTGCTGAGGTGAGTCCATTATCTCACTACCTCAATTCTTCTAATTTCTATGTTTTATTTTTTATTTTTGAATTGCAATTGTTACATGCCTATGGAACATTAAACTAATACCCTTGTACTATAAATGTAGCCTGCCCATGAGAAGATTGGAGTTGTTGATTCTCAATGGATTGTTCATCAAAGTATTCCCTCACTAGGGAATCAGGTTATTTGTTTTCCATGATTATTCTTGTTACTTAATAATTTTACTCATATTGCAACTGTAAGATACTTATTTTTATTTTTCTGTGCTTGGGTAGGGAGAATCACAATCTGGGAAAGCGCCATGGCAGGGGGTATGTTATGCATGTTTCATACAGTTTAGTTTGATCTTTATTAACATTATCTCTTAGTCAATCAAGAAGATGTGTTATAATGGATAGAGTTATTATTTTTTTATGTGAAGACTTTGATTATGAAATATATATATATATATATATATATATATATATATATATATATGTTGATGGTTCCATGGTGTTGGTGCCAGGTGAGGGAGAGGTGTAGAAAGGAGTGGACAATGTTCCAGAGTCGGTTGGCGAATGCAGAAAACGCATATTTCAAGGCCGTTGGAATTGATATGTTTAATTCGACTACTACTTAGGGGACTTGTAGACAGCCATTGCCGCCACCATTGAGCTTCGATTTTTTGCATGAAATATATATATTTTTTATACTCCGTCCACATATAATTGTTTTATGTTTTTGACACTAGTTACTTTCCATTCACAATTTAGAGTCCTAGCTAAGGAGAGAACTACAATTCAAAGTAGAATTCCGGTGCTGAAAGTTAGAAAATTAAATGAACGTAAATATAGTTATGGTACCACTCGCGTGTTTGATTATAATGTTCGTTTAGGAACATTTGCTTATAGGGAATATGAATGCAATGTCTGGTGTACACAAATTGGATGAGACATGTGGCTAGCTACTGATTTTTGTTTCGGGTAATTTTTACCATTATCAATCAATTTAAATGACTTGCATCATTTTGCATGATGATAAGTCAACGAGGTTCCTTGAATCATACTTCTCTTTCCTTCAATGGTACTCCAGATTTGACAATAATAAAGATACTGGTTTTTATATTACATGTCGGCACATGTAAGGTTTATGATGTAGTTAACACTCTACTTTCGGTCAAAGAATTTAACTTTAGTAGGATGAATTGTAGTCAACAATTTGCAAAGTGATTTGTTAACTAATTTGTACAAATCCCCCCACGTGATAATTACCTGAAAGAAAACTGAAGCACTCCGTTCAAAGTAATGCTACTTTACCGAATGCACAACTACAAAGTCATTTCTTGACAAATGGACTGACATTAAATGCAAACTGAAAACAACAGATAACGGAGGAAATTCTCATATTACCAAAGACATATTGTGGAGTTAGTCTTACAAATAAGGTAAGATATCATTACAACATACACTGTTATAATGAGAGTTCTACAAGAAAAACTGCATGCGATAAGCTAAAAAGGATGCTATCCTTATTATTTTTTTCTCCCTCGCTTTCCTTTTATTTCAATCTTCCTATACATTATTTCTTGTATTAGATAGAAAGTGCCACCGACCACATGGTTATTTAATTTTGCAGCTTCTAAGCCGGGGATATAAAGAGAGACAATACAAAGCACGGGTCCCACAATATAAAGAGAGAAAAAAAAGTAACCGACCTCACATTGTTTATTGTATCAGCAAAAAAAAGTGATTGTTTCCTGTGACATAACCGATGCATTACCCCTAAAAGGTAATACATTGGTTATGTTATATGAAACAATTTTTTTTTCTTGCATAGACAAAGCAAAGCATGAGTCTCACAATATAAAGAGAGAGAAAAAAAAAAGTAATGAACACCATATTATTTATTGTCTCTGTAGGAAAAAGATGTTGTTTCGTGTGACATAACCGGTACATTACCCATAAAGGGTAATACATTGGTTATATTATAAGAAACAAATTTTTTTTACTAGAGAGACAATGCAAAGCATGGATCCCACAGTATAAAGAGAGGGAAAAAAAGTAATGGACCTCACATTGTTTATTATCTCAGCGGGAAAAAGTTGTTAGTTTCCTTGTGAAATAACCGATGCATTACCCTATAATAAAACGGTTGCGTATTTTCTTTTGTCAAAGAGACCAAATAAATTACTTGCGGAGGTTATTGGGGAGGAAAGCACATGCATTTCTTAGTTAGGTTCATTGGTTTCAACTTTCAATAATGTCTGCTTTCATAATTTGGTTCCTCGTGCTATTTCTTGGATTACACTTAAAAGCAGTGCTTTGTAGAGATGTTCAGATTTCCATAATTGTCATTTTATATGTTGGAAAATTTTTAAGAGAATCTCACCATGATATGTTGCTATTCCACTTTGGTTCTGGAAGTGGAACACCTTCATAACAGAAGTAAAACTAAGCTGATTTGTGAATCCCACTGGATACATATTTGGGGTTGTTGTATTCCAAAGTAAAATCTTTTTCTCTCATACCATCTTTTTTTTTTTTCCCTTTTCTTTTAAACCGTTATCTGGTTCCATTCATTAACGCATTCAGTTCTGTCTTCTTTGAACCTAAAGCAGGGATTGTATTCATTAAACAAGCATCTTGGTTTCTTATATGGAGGGAACAATCAGTAAAGCTTGGATATAATGGGGATCGTTAATCGAAGGTCTAATATTTGAAGACAGCTAACTTTATTATTCTGTTTGTTCTTAAGAAATTTTGCATATGCTATAGTTAATGTCAGCAACTCCCTTCAAGTGACATTTGCATCTTTTTTGGCTGCAGTTTTACTAAAAGAAAACCAAATGAAAGTATGAAGCTTTTTGTGATATTTTTTGTTGGAGGATTTTTGGGCTTAATTATAGGAGTATCACTTCCAACATTGTCAATAACAAAGGTGCTGAATTTGTGTATGATAGAGTGAACTTTTGTTCATGATTTGGTGTTACTTGACGTAACAATGGAATTCTAAAACTTTGCTTAACATTTTGCAGTTGAATCTCCCATCAGTCCTGCTTCCCTCCATTGATCTCTCTTGCATTCAGGACAAACATTCAGGTAGCGATGCGTGGTCTTTCATGAAGAATAATAACAGCACCTCATCCCAAGATCAATTACTAAAAAACACAACAAAGGTATGCATCTTATTAGAGTAAGATATTATTAGAATTTGCTTTGGTTATTTGAAAAGAATGGAAAAGGAAAATTAGATATAGCAAAATGAGAATCCGAGGGCCTCTAGACTCATTTTTTTCCCCTCATCCCCTTCTTGTTTATTAATCAATGATAATAGATAATTGTTAAAGGATTTCCACTGTGATTTCATATTATGTAATATTTGAAAATATGGCTTTTTAAAGTCTGTATGATGATGAGACAATTGCTACTTATTTTTCATGATTGTCTACAGATTTGGGTTCCAACAAATCCAAGAGGTGCAGAGAGATTAGCTCCTGGGGTTGTTAAAGCAGAGTCAGACTTTTTCTTACGCAGATTGTGGGGTATTCCCAGTGAGGTGAGTATCCTAAAACAGTTTGTGTACTCAATGTAGCTGCACCCTTTAAATGTCATAAAAAAATGAAGCTAAATACAGATTGAGGTGCTGTTAAGCCTTATGCTATAGTCAATAAAATTTTAAAAGAAGTTTTACGTCTGTTTTTACAAATTTTAAACTGACTTGAACACCCCAAATACAAGAAGGGAAGAATAATAACAGAAAACTTAGCTTGCCACATGAGCATTTTCCTTCTTGCTTTATTTTCTTTGTTTTTAGGCTAATCTTGAATTTCACACGTTTTCTATATACAGAGAATTTGATTAAGTTGCCACTTGCAGGATTTAACCTCTAAGCCAAAGTACCTTGTGACCTTCACTGTTGGGTATGAGCAGAAAAAGAATATTGATGCAGCTGTGAAAAAGGTTCTCTCTCTTTCTCTCTCTCTCACTGTATAGGCTTGTATATGTGTCTTAAATCTAAATATGTCGTTTGAACAGTTTTCAGAGAACTTCACAATCCTTCTATTTCATTATGATGGCCGAACAACCGAGTGGGATGAGTTTGAGTGGTCAAAAAAGGCTATTCATGTGAGTGTTCACAAACAAACCAAATGGTAAAATTCCTATGCTTTCTCGTAACTTTTGGATGACAATTTTCATTGTGACATTTGCAGTTAATATTTTTTATCAAACTAAAAGTGGTCTATTATTTATTTCTTCTCTTAGGTGGTATGCCAAGCGGTTTCTGCATCCAGACATTGTGGCACCATATGATTATGTTTTCATATGGGATGAAGACCTTGGGGTGGAACATTTTAATGCAGAAGAGTGAGTATTAGATATGATACATATTTTCATAATAAGTTTTAGTTTTGGTTTTGTTAAGGAAGTTTCATGTGCCCCTCTAATTCCAATTGCAGATACTTAAAGCTGGTAAGGAAGCATGGCTTGGAGATTTCACAGCCAGCTTTGGAACCTAATAAAGGGTTGATTTGGAATATGACTAAGAGAAGAGATGATCAAGAAGTTCACAAGTAAGAATGATGGGAACCCAGAGCAAGTTTTTTTATGCTGCTAGTTATGTAAAAGAATGTATTTGTGTTGATTGCTTATTTCTTTGATTTCTATTAGAGAAGCAGAGGAGAAACCAGGAAAGTGTAAGTACCCTCTTCTGCCTCCTTGTGCAGCGTAAGTAACTGTTAAAAATTTTCTTGTGAATTTCTTTTTTGGGGGGTTGTACAAATTGTTGTTTTATTTTTATCTGCTCTTCCCTACTGTGTCTAATTGTGTCAGCATGCAGGTTTGTTGAGATTATGGCTCCAGTGTTTTCGCGAGATGCATGGCGCTGTGTGTGGCATATGATTCAGGTTCAATGGTTACTCACATTATTTTATATATCATTGATTAGTTGTTGGCATCTTCCATAAATTATGATTGTAACACACTGCTTATTTCAGAATGAATTTGTCCATGGATGGGGTCTTGATTTTGCTTTTAGAAAATGTGTTGAGGTGAGCTTGTTCCTGATTACTTCAGTTCATCTAATTTCTTGACTAATAAATTATTTTTGGTGTGGCTGTAGGAGAGCACACACCAAACAAAAATGAAAAACATTGTAATAGTGATATGCTATAGAACACTAAACTAATGCTAGCAATGATATATAGCCTGCGCATGAGAAGATTGGAGTTGTTGATGCTCAGTGGATTGTTCACCAGGGTGTTCCCTCACTAGGGAATCAGGTAATTTATTTTCCATGATTATTCCTGTTTATACTTAATCATTTCACTCAAATGCAACTTTATATAATGCTTATTTGTTTTCCTGTGTGCTTGGTAGGGTGAAGCACAAACTGGGAAACCGGCATGGCGTGCGGTATGTTATGCATGTTTCACATATTGCTTAAGTTTGTTTAGGGTCCTCTTTCTTGACCATACAGCATTTTACTTCTTTTCTCACATTAGAACTGTTACCTTAATTGATCAAGAAACTTGTTATGATAGAATTTTTTTTTATTGGACTTTGATTCTGAAATATATATACACGTTGATGTTTCCATGGTAATGGTGGCAGGTGAAGGAGAGGTGTGGCATGGAGTGGAGAATGTTCCAGGGTCGGTTGACAAATGCAGAAAGGGGATATTATAAGTCCAAGGAAATTGATTTCTCTAATTTGCTCATTCATAATTAGTGGGACAACGGCGAAATTCTAACACAGACATCGCCCCCATTGTTTTCGATTTTCATTTTTTTTTTTAATATATAATTGCTTTCAGTTTGTAACACCAATCAATTACTTGCAATAACAATTTAGAGTCGTGGAGCTAAACAAACTTTCAATGTAGAAATCCATTGCCAAAAGAGAGAAAATAACAAGTGAAGAAAAATCTTACTTCCCGTGTAACTCATGTATTTCATTATAATGAATAAATATAAACCTCCTATCAAGTCAACCAGATTCCTTGAATCATAAATTATCTTTCCATCAATGATGCTCAATCTTTGAACTTTGTACTCTTAAGTATACAAGTTTTTACATAGCATGTTGAGAAGAAAGTTTACAATCTAATTAACACTTTACTTTCCTTGAAAGATTAGTACAATTGAAGTCTACAAATTGCAAAGGGACTTGTTTACCGAATTCTTCCATGTGCTATGTTGGATAGTAAATTTCAAAAGAAAGAGTATCGTTCTCACAGAACGTATGGAGTATTTTCTATTTATTTTTCTGAATTAAAAATTCTGTAATTGAAATTTAATTGGTTTCTTTAGAACAAGAAAGTTTTGTATAGTTTTTATCATGCATTAGAATTGAACTAAAAAGTAAAGAAATGATTATCAATATAAAAAGGCTTTTGGGTATATCTCAAATCATGGATGACAAAAATATTTGCAAACTGCAAATTCGTACAGTGCTACAGTGAGTTTATCTAAGTTTCTGAGTTGCTACGGCAAGTTTAGTTGAAACTTTCCAGAATCAACAATGAAGTTCAAGAAGAACTTTTCCCAAAGCTTCTTGAATCTTTACAAAAATTTATCAGAAATCACCTTTGATTATCCCTAATCCAAAAGGGTTCATTTGACACTTAACAAAAATCCATTTCCCAATTTCTTTTTGTTGAAAAACTCAAGTCCATTCCCATGGATTTCTTGAGTTGAGAAGTGAAAGAATCAAACGAATGAGATAAAGAAACAGTAACAAAGAACATAAAAAATTCATCCAATCATTTTCAACATACCCAGAAAATGAAGGACTTAGAAACCCATATTCATGTAACGAAAATCACAGATTAAAGAAAACAGAAACATTCACTAAAAGATAAAATCAAGTAAATGTTCAACAGTGTACCGATCCTAAACTAAAGCAGGATCTTGTATCTCCTCTTGCATGCACCTCCTTCTTCGATCCTTGATTCTTCAGCTTGTCAATGCTTAAAGTTTCTGGATCTTGAATAGTGAAGCAAGAAAGTTTTTACACACTGGTTCTCAACACAGTTTCAGAGAAATTACAGAAGAGATTTTTAAAACGTAAAAACTTTGGAAAACCTAAAACTCAGAAAACTAAGGCTCTGTTTGATTCTGTTTTTAAAAACAGTTTTTTAGTTTTCAGAACAAAAAAACATAAAAAAACTCGTTTGGTAAGCCTGTTTTGTAAAAAAAATAATTAAAAACTGTAACTGTTTTTTTGTTTTTAGAATCAAATTTAGAGAGCATGTCTGAGTTGTTTTTGTTTTTTGTTTTGATTTTTAACTTTCAAAACAAAAACAACACAGAAAACAACTGTTTTCATAATTATTCTACAAAACAGTTTTAAGAACAAAAAAACCAGAACACAATCAAACATGCCCTAAATCTATCTTCTTTGTTTTTTTACAAACCACACATATTAACTAAAACTAAAAATCCTCCTTTCATTAGTAGCCGTCCATCCCATTTTTATATCCAATGTTTCCAATTAACCCACGTGTGCCTTCTGCTGAAAGTAAAAAATAAAATGTGTAAGAAAACAAGCCAAATTTTTTTTTTTTTTTTTTTTTTTACCTTCTCTTTTTTACTTGGGCCTTAACTTACTCTTTTGGGCCCCATTCACCTGCAACATCACATATTAACAACCCAAAAAGATATAAAATCACATAAAGTAATACAATAAATAGATATATATTTTGGTGCTAACATGCTACAAGAGAATAAATTACCTAAAAGTGAAAACATACAGTTGTTACAGTACCTGTAGCACAACTACTAAGTTATTTCTTAACAAACTGAAAACAGTAGACAAGAGAATTGTCATCACCAACTGCTCCTTTATTTCATATTCGCTTGGTACACAAACTTAATCATAGCTACCAATTATACTTGAGATTCATTTAGAACACACAATTTTATATATTATGCATCATTGATTGTTATTTACACACTGCATAGTATACAAATTTCAAGGAAATTAAAGTAGGATTGAATCAATTACAACACGCCTTATTGAGGGGCCCCTTGATGCTTTATTTGAATGAAAAAAAGAAAAGAAAAGAAATACATGCCCGGGTAATATGGCTATGAGTCAATATGGTATATCATCTTAAAAGTGGAGCTAAAAAATTGAGAGATGAGTTTTTCATAAAAAAAAAATTTATATAAATCTCATCCCAAAATCTTTTACCAATTTTAAGGTACACCAAGATAACTATGCACACGAAGCCCCTATATAGATAGCAATATATAGAGAGCCTCATCAAGCAGGCCTCGTTGACATGAGCCTGGCTAATTCCATTCTCTTGTGCTCGTGCTGAATAAACGCGTCAGCCTCTTCGTTCACGCTCTCATAACCGTTATAATCACCAAACGTGGTACGTTGGTAACGTGGCAAAGTGGTCTCGGTTTCTGTCTCACGAACATCTACGTAGGACACTTGGTACTCGTCGGAGGGACAACGCCACCCATAATGGTTCCTATTGTGGTGTTTGCGATTATGGTATTCCATTTTTTCTTACTCGATCTGTTTGATAATGGTTGAGGTTGTGTTACAACTTCTTAATTTCAGCTACTATTTATAGTTTTTACTAAGCCGACATTTGTTACAATGACATATTATTATTTAAAGGAACAGTTGGTTTATATACTTTTATTAATACACGTGATTATTAAGGAGGTTATAATTATTCGATAATGAAAAGACCGAATCTTATACCTCTCCTTTTTAATTAGCAGAAAAATCAAAGAAGGAGAAGGAGATATTTATCCAGCAAGATGGACCATGCATTACTTTTGATTAATGTTCATAGATTCGTACGCCACCGCCATTTAAGAAACTTTAATGTTTTCAACGATAACAAAGTGCGTATGAAATTCGATTCGCTTCCCTTTTTCTAAGTTGATGATGTGCTAATTAACGGTTCTAGAAAATATTTCACTCTTTCTCGTTCAATCCCATCAAATTTTTATTTGAAAAATAATTCCTGGAATTTTATTTCAGTGGCACGGTATATGCTTCAGAAACTAATGTCTGTAAATGTACATTATTTATTATATTAAAAGCTTACAATATATATTTTTCTTTTAAGCAGGAGACCCTTATTAGGAATTAAGTTATGAATTGAAAAAACAGTAATTTTATTTAATTTTGATTGTCTTACACCTCTCACTTATTAATTATACCTTTCCTATTGAAAATAGAGAGAAAGAGAAAGAGAACGAGCTAACATTTCAATATTTCTTTTCTCAAAAGGAAATAAAAAATATGTATGAAAAACATTATTGTTGGAAAAATGGATTACAGGATTAGGGCACAGGCTATTCACAAATATATATATATATATATATATATATGGATCAGGATCATTTTACACCAGTATAAGTTACACTTTCAATCTTGTCTATTGATCCCGTTTATCTCTAAGGACTCTAATTTTTTAATAATGTGACTCATTGGATACAAGTGGATCAATGGTCAACATTGAGTGTAAAATTTCTAACTCTTACATTTAATATATATATATATATATATATATATATATATATATATATATATATATGAAAATTTTATTTCTTCAGTCACTTGACGTCCAACAATAACAAGTGTATGATTATGATTCCCCGCATTTAATGCGCTCATCTTTTGTATAGTTATGATTCCTTACATTTAATGTTGTCACCTATATAAATAATGTATTACTGGACGTTAAGTGGTTGGAGAAATATTAACTGGACGTTAAGCGGTTGGAGAAATGTTAACCTCCTATATATATATAGGATCTGTTGACGCCGGTGTTAAATTTTAAAATTTGATACCAAACACTAACCGTTGATTTCTGTCAATCAATGATTATCATTTATTGAAAATTAAACTCATTAATTAATTATTCATTCCCAATAAATAACTATAATTGATTGACGGAAAGCAACAGTAAGGATTTAGTGTCAAATTTCAAAATTTAACACTGGTATCAAATAATCTTGCCCCATATATACACACACATACATATATGAGATAGGATCCTTTGACACAAGTGTCAAATTTTTAGAAATTTGATACCAAATCGTAACCTTTACTTTCCGTCAATCAACCGTTATCATTTTTTGGGAGTCAAACTTATTAATTAATATTAATTCTCAATAAATAATAACCGTTGATTGGCGGAAATCAAAGGTTAGAAATTGATGTCAAATTTTAAAATGTGACACCAGTGTCAAAGGATCCTGCCTCATATATAAGATCTGCCCATATATATATATATATGAGGCAGGATCCTTTGACACCAGTGTCAAATTTTAAATTTGACACCTCACCTGAGAGCCATTAGATCAAAAAAGATCAACGGTGTCACATGCTTACAAATCATACTCGTTGATCTTTTTTGATCTAACAGCTCTCAGATGAGGTGTCAAATTTGAAATTTGACACTGGTGTCAAAGGGTCCTACCTCTATATATATATACATATGGATTTAGGCGTTTAGCGGATATATAGTGACTGCACCTAAGGATTGATACAGTGATATAAATCTACATCATTTTATACTGTGAAAGCATTAAATATGAAAAAAATAACCATACAAAGATGAAAATAAATATAATATTTTCATTTTCTACAATTTATTTTGAACGCGAATTTCTTTATCCCCAAAATAACATAGTTTCTAGGTGACTGCACCAATGCTTATATGCAGTCACATTACAAACTATTTTGCCTATATA